CGCGTTTTCTAGTTATGATGTTGTTACTCTTGTCACTTCAACATGGACATTGATTATATCAGGTTCCAATGTTAAAGGCACATAATCTGTCTGAAGCCCATCATGGCTTCTTCTCTATACATATATTCGGTTCAGTTAAAGTCGCTAATTCCATAGAAAGAAACCTTCCAGCGACAATATCATGGAATTAAAAGACATGATCTGTTTACGGTAAACTTGGTCACTGTGAGGTTTTTCCTTTTGCATTCTATCTATCGATCTATCGATCTGTCGATCTATCTATATATCTATCTGGGCGGTGGGGAAGCCTGGTTGTTAAAGTGTTGGCTCATAACGCCGAAGACCCGGGTTCGATTCCTCACATGGGTACAATGTGTGAAGCCCATTCCTGGTGTCCCCTGCCGTGATATTGCTGGAATATTGCAGCGTAAAACCATACTCATCCACTCACTCTCTCACAATCTATCTATCTACATCTATCTATCTATCTATCTACATATATCTATTTTATATTTTATTGTTTCTGTGGAATTGGTGTGATAACTGAGGTAAATATCTTTAATGAATGAAAGATATCATTGTGTATTTCAGAATTGAATTAAGGCAATACGGTTGAACAAAAAGTAAGAAAGTACACATGCCCAGATACTCGTGCCTCAGTAACAGTGTTAATATTTCAGTATTTCTATCGTCGATATGGGTCCTGGAGTCTGCGACTACTGATAACTGTCCTTGGGATGCTGCAAAATGTAAGCCTACTCATATATTTGACGGGTGAAAGGCCAGTTTTACGAGGTCAAACTATGGAATGCTGTACCATTAAATAATACACATGTTCACATCTCTGACACAATAACAAAAGGGGGCGGTGGGGTAGCCTACTGGTTAAAGCGTTCCCTAGTCACGCCGAAGACCCGGGTTCGATTCCCCAGATGGGTACAATATGTGAAGCCCATTTGTGGTGTCACACGCCGTGATATTGCTGGAATAGTGCTAAAAGCTGCCTAAAACTAAACTCACTCACTCACTAACTCACAACAACTAGATTAGAATATAGTCATCATGAATTGGCAAGAATAGTAAACTGAGCGCGGTTATGAAAAAATGTTATCTTTAATATCACCTTTATCTTGCAGATTCTTATGAATGCAGCAATTTTACTCGCACCCGCACTATCAATAGAAACAGGTATGGCACTCTTGCAGCATGTCCACAGATGTAGAATCAAGCTTCATCCCTTTTCTCTTTTAAATACTTAAAGGCACTACATCACATCACACTTCTCTAAACTTATATAATGTATTTCTCTCAATAATACTAGGGGCGGTGGGGTAGCCTAGTGGTTAAAGCGTTCGCTCGTCACGCCGAAGACCCGGGTTCGAATCCCTACATGGGTACATTGTGCGAAGCTCATTTCTGGTGTCCCCCGCCGTGATATTGCTGGAATATTGCAAAAAGCGGCGTAAAACAAAACTCACTCACTCACTCACTCAGTAATACTAACTATCAGTCCTAAGGGAAGCTATCATATATTTTTCCCCAAAAAGCTTATGTATTTAGATTACAATATTAGATTAAAAGGTTCAACGTTGCATTAAATCGACTCTCGCGCCCTCTACCGATCGAACGTTTTTTCAAGCGAACCCCACAAACAACGACAACATCAGAGCAATTATTTACATTCCATATATATGGTGGCTGGTTCTCGTCTCGTAATATCGCTTTTTCGTCTCGTGATATCGCTTTCTCGTTTTCTCGCCTCCGAATTTTAAGGCGAGAAAGCGATGGCCCAACTCAGCCACCATACATATACGGCAAGTGTTCCCTGTTTGGTAGCTGTTTGCCTCGAAGTTTCAATGATCGATTTCAGGCAAGTCGTAAGGGATAATAAGTTTATTATGCATCAATAGGAAGCAAAAGTGAGTGCATATTCCCAGTATATAATATAGGCCAAAATATTGTCGAAATTATGTGACATTGTGCCTTTAAATATCCGTCGCGTGTTCACTGCAATTCCTGCATTCTGATTTGCTCAAGTGGAATACCGGAGGGAGGCTGACTGGGCTGCAGAATTGCATGATTTTTCTCTCCTGTGCGATCTAAAACCCAGTGTTTATTTAACCAGCTTCCTCTTGAAACAACATGATACCCAATTGAAGCAATGGAATATGATACAATATGTGAGAAATACAAGTTAATAGATAACGTTTCTCAATTAGTTTGTGATCCAAACCTTTCTTTTTGAACAACAGCTGCTGGTCTCCCGTTGGTATCCTCAGTTCTTCTGGTGGGAACGGTTGGAACACTCTTCACCGCCATTGTGAGTTCATCTTGCATCTTGCTCATGTGAATACAATTTGATCATTCTTTGAGCATTCATGGCACCTCTATAAATCCTATCTTAACAGTTCAATAAACAAGGTTGAAAAAGTGAATGATCATTGAATGGTCTGGGTTATGATAATGAATGTTCTGAAAATCGACATTACAATGACAATACATCACTGGTATTTTCACAGTAAGTTGATGTTATGGTACGTACCCAAGTGTAATAAAATCCGTTTGACATATTTTGTGGGTTAAGACGGAATCAAACCAAACAATAACATAAAATATTAGTCCATCCAGTGAATAGTATTCCTGTGTTAGATCGTTTGAGGTCGCCTTGTAAATTATGAAGTATCGTATGGAAAGTACAATAACCTTAACTAACAGCATCACTTTTGTTGTATGGAACTAAACGCCAGTTGGTATCCACCCTCCTCTCCCTCCCTCTCTCTCTCTCTCTCTCTCTCTCTCTCTCTCTCTCTCTCTCTCTCTCTCTCACACACACACACACACACACGTGAGTACAATGAGTGAAGCCCATTTCTGGTGTCCATCACCGTGATACTAGCTGGAACATTGTTAGAAGCAGCGTAAAACCATACCCACAAATGAACAAATGTATATCTGCTGTGCTATATAAGTATATCGGCGTCGTCAACGTGGGTGAGTGGTCCAGTTCAATAGACTACACATTGTGTTTAACAACGCTCTATATTCTTTCTAGGGTGGGCTACGGGGAGTGGTTGCTGTCGATGGTTTACAAGGTGTGGTTATGGTTGCTGGAATATATTCATCACTGTTCAAGGTTATTATAACTGTTGCTGGTTTGTAATATACGGAATATAGCATGCAAGCAATGAAAACAAGATGCACATGCAGGCAATGTTAATGCCAAAACGATCAAATATTGGTCTCTAATATGTTCTGCCTAGTGCTGTATAATGCATCAAAATGCTGATGATGGTACAGCTTGAAGGGCATGAAGCCATTTATTTGATGGATTTTAAGTGTAATAGCAATCTTATGATGCACAACAGTGAGAGTTTTACAAAATAAATTAAATAGTAAACCATGAGTAAAATATAGTTTCTCAAACAAAAGGTCAAATCACACTCTATCAAGGGGTCACACATCTTATCCTCCTCACGTTAACTTAAACAGTAATGTGGAGGTTCCTCTATCAGACCATTGTAATATTGTTTGTCATCTCTTAAAGGGGGTGTTTGCTGTCGGCGGGTTTGGACCAACATGGGAGATCGCTGTACAAGGAGGCCGGGTTACGCCTTTAGAGTAAGTATATGGAACAGAACACAGATGCGTATTTTTTTACCATCAGTCATGATCGATATTTATAACAAATACAATCAATATTTTGTTTCTAATTCATGCAAATACTTTGATGAAACTAGATCAAAATCTCAAACGGACCAAAGCGTTTGAACAAAATCTGAATGATGAAATACAATTTAACAAAAAAGGAATTTTCATTCCAGAAGTTGTTGAGTAAATGAGAAAACATACAACATATGGATAAAAACCCCAACAACTTCTGGTTTATTGCATGGAGTAATGCTTCCATGAACATTGTGATTTCCTTATCAAGCTGCAGTAATAATGCAAGAATCTGCGTGAAACGTTGCTAAATGAAATAGACCGTAAGTCGTTATCCATAAAGCTGCATGTTCACTTATTATTATACATGGCTGCAGACCCTGTTAATAGCACTTATTCATGTTATGTTTTTATATTTGAAGCTTCAGCCTCGATCCTCGTGTCCGACACTCTTTCTGGAGCCTCGTTGTGGGAGGAACCTTCGCTTATATGTCCTTCACGTTCGACCAATCGGCAATGCAGAGAGTCTTTTCTTTGCCTACTGCCAGACAGGCTCAAATGTAAATGTGTTAGAATTTATTGGTAAAATATAAAACTCGCTTTGTACAGTTCAGTACATATTAACTTCACAGTACACATTGCTTGGTTTAGCACAAAAAGATGATGTGTCGACAGAAAATAGCGATGAGCTTTGACACTTCCATCCCCACTTTGTTTTGTTTTGTGCTCACAAAGTGCATTGTGGCTAAGATTGCATTTTCACCCGACTCAAACACGAGTTACACACTCATAAATGAAGCATTAAACACACTGTGACATCTTCCAAGTGAAAAGAGACCCGTGAAGATCCGGGTTAGAATTGGTCTTCAGCAATCCATGCTGTTTCCGTTGGGTTGAGCTTCCTTTCGCATATGTTGCCTTGTACTATCATACCAGCATTTTCCAGCACAACTTGAGTTTTGACAAGACTTTGGACAAGTTTCACACCTTACATTTGCTATTAGAATCGAACATAAACATCTTATCATGCTGGAAATAATTCGTGGAACATTTGTTGCCATACATATTTTGCTGTCAGTATTGCTATGATACAGGCCGATTCAGCAACCCATGCCTGTCGTAAGAGGCGACTAACGGGATCGGGTGGTCAGGCTCGCTGACTTGGTTGACACATGTCATCGTATCCCAGTTGCGTAGATCGATGATCATGCAGTTGATCACTGGATTGTCTGATCCAGACTGGATTTTGTACAGACCGCCGCAGTATAGTTGGAATATTGCTGAGTGCGGCGTTAAGCAACAAACAGTGCGTTCTCCTAATTTCTTTGTTGAAGGGCATACACTATCAACATCTTTAACAACACTGTGTACATGATGACAGCATGCTTCATGGGACTTGTTGCCTACGCTTACTACTCAGTGAATATGTGTGACCCACTAAATGCTGGCTTCATCAGGAACAAAAATCAGGTAAAACATTACCGTAAATACCGTATGGCACGCAATAATGGCCGCTCTTTGTAACTGTAAATACCGTATGGCACGCAATAATGGCCGCTACCGTATGGCTTTGTAACTGTAAATACCGTATGGCACGCAATAATGGCCGCTCTTTGTAACTGTAAATACCGTATGGCACGCAATAATGGCCGCTCTTTGTAACTGTAAATACCGTATGGCACGCAATAATGGCCGCTCTTTGTGTAACTGGGCAGATAGCTCATTCATACTGTACATGCTTGTCCATAAAAATCATCATCACCCCCAAGCCATATAATATGAGCGGTCCCTTAAATTCCTCCAAAATGTCACATATGAAACCATTCAAACCCACAAAACGTAACGCATTTGGTAGAATATTTGGCACTTTTGGAGTCACTTATAAAGATACTCCCACTTGTAAAATGTTGCATGAAACCAACACAAATAAATGTATATTTGGCACTTTTAGAGCACATTTTATTGCTAGGAAATCAAGGGCAGATAATGCAAAGGGAGCTCACTCTGGATGACCCAATATATTGCAGAATCTGAACCATATCGCGATAATCGTATCGCGAGATACTGTACCGGTATATACCGGTTTACCGGTAATATTGCACAGCCCTAGAAAATGGCACTTTTAATAGACAATAAAAAAGAAGTTTTTCTCCTTAACAAAGTCCCACTTTATAAGTCCATAGCCATAATTATTCAAAAATCGACTCACTTTCACTTTCGCAAGAAGAATAACCACACAGTTGATCATCCCAACTGTTCAGTGGGCCTTGTATGAATGCTTCAGCTGATGCCGTACTTCATCATGGACATCTTCCAAGACATCCCTGGTATGCCAGGCCTATTCCTGGCCACCTTACTCAGCGCTGCACTCAGGTAATGCAATTAATTATTACAGTAAGCAGTGCAGTATACCTACTAACTTTACGGCCAGTCGTATCTAATCAGTACAACCCACCTTGTATCTCTCTGTAGTTGTTAAATGATGCACAATCAACCAAATTACGGAGTCCAACCACTAAAGCTGCTTTCAGACACCTCTTCAGGCAAGATTAGATGACTGGAATGCCCTCGGAGTATGGATCATTTTCAATACTGGTGATGGTGATTGTGATGGTGATGGTGATGGTGATAGCTGTTTCTCCAATACAGTCTATATTTAATAATATTATGTGGTCATGAAAGGTATCTTGTTGGATCTTTCTCAAGTGTTCATAGATAATTTCCTAGAAACACTATGTGTTAGGGTTCCAAGCGTTTTTGTTGCAAACATATTCCTCCACACACATCTGTGTTGAATGTAATTTAATGTATTATTAATTTCATTATTATTATTATCATTTGACAGTTCCTTCTCTTCCGTTCTCAACGGCCTTGCAACTAACACTATAGAGGATCTCCTGCAGCCGCTGTTTGACAAATACTCTACAACAGAGAAGGTTAAACTGCTGGTTGCCAAAACATCAGGTAGTGATGAAATATAGTCTACTACAAATTTCGAAACTACTTGACTCGGTTGGGTCACTCAGAGGTATCAAATTACAATGACAACCTTTGACCTATGAGTTGTAGGCTGCATCACTGCGGAATCTAAAAATTCATAGTCACAGTCGCAGAATGGCGTTTTCGAATAACTCAATACGACCATGTTTTGTTTATACAGTTTTCTTCTTCGGTTTTCTGTCCGTTGGATTGAGCTTCCTTGCCAATTCTCTTCCTGGAACCGTCATGCAGGTACTTTCTTTGAACTATTTTCCAGCCACAGTACACAAATTTACACTATGACTGAACGTAAACAAAGAAGGAATATTTATTAAAAATTCGAGGAACATTTGTTGCTCTAGTTATTGATATATGTAATAATGAAGATCTTAACAGGATACCGCTGTAGAATGTTTGTCTTGGACACAAGAAAGAACCGTTACCTGTAGCATGTTGCTCTTCTCTAGGCTTCTATGGCGTTGGTGGGATCGTGTGCCGGGCCATTAGTTGGGATTTTCTTTCTTTCTGCCATGGTTCCTTGGGCCAATAAACTAGTAAGTACTTCATTTACCAAACTGTATACCAAATAGACATGTACAACTTGAAAAGACCACAGCAATAGTCCAGTATTGTAAGTACTAACGTATTTGAAAGCCCTAGACCAAGGACGCAGATGAGACTAGCGATCATTCGTTTACGTTTCATTACAAAGTCATATCCTTGAATGAGATTCAGATCAAGGAATATACCCCCTTTACGTACATTTATGCAAGATCTACATTCTGAAAAGTATTCTTTCTTAAAATATTTCGGATATATTCATTTCCAAACACAATTCAAATGGGCATCCGTTTAAAATTTGATGAATGTTGAAAGTAGAAACTTATTAAGTCGTTCAGTGAGCCGACCACCCTGTCTTGTTAGTCGACTGTAATGAAGAATAAACTCAACAAAGACAAACCAAGTACTCTCAAGAAGATAACGATTGGTGTTATATCGTCAGATAGATGGCATTACGTAACCACGGGGTATATGTCATCTGCTGGTTATCTTGCAGGGGGCTACTTGTGGAGTGTTGATGTCGCTCGTGCTGAACACGTGGATCGCTATCTGCGGCGCCCTGTACGGACGTAGACCTGTACCACTTCCGCCGGTGCCCGGTAACTCCTGCAAGGTCGATGGCATAGTCAACACAACAAACATGCAGGTGTTTAACATGGAGGACATGTCGACTACAGCAGATTATACATCAACGTCAGCCTGGACCACCACTGAAAGGTTCCGTCAACGACAACATCAGTTCAGATACCCTTATTAGCATAATCCATAATGAAATTACATATCCCTTAGTCCAGGCTGCATATATGTATGAAAACATACCTGTCACATAACAGTGAAATCAGTGTATGGTATGCGTGATGATTCCGTTAACGGGCATGCAATCCGTTAAAAATATGCAGTTTGTTGTAAGGTTTCACAACCATTCACAGCATGCTCAAGACAGGGGTTCACGGCACAGGGTAATTATGTCTGATAAAATCTGATAAAATGGATGTACGCCGTTTGTTGAAATACGTAGTACTTTTAGTCCAGATATTTTCTATAATCTTGGAAAGGTTTTTGTTTTATTTACACAGTTCCACCGTGTTCTCTGGTGACAACCCACTCTACAATATTTCTTACCTCTACTACGCCTTGACTGGATGTTTGATGGCCTTTGTTGTGGGACTGGTCGTCAGTTTGGCTACACGTAGGTCGACTTCTAAAATCATTGATATACCAGTATGAAGTATATAGTATTTAGCACGGCAAAGGCAGAGAGATGGGTGAGGTGAGGTGGGGTAATAAATGATCCACATACAGGTGTTAATATGATACAGTTGGAATCAGACAATGACAACAGCTTGAAGCAATGTTATTTATCTTTATTGTGTCACGTTGTTTGAAGCTTTCTCATGCATGAGTGAGTGGGAGATTTTAGTTTTACGCCGCACTCACCAATATTCCAGCTACATGGCGATGGTCTGTAAATAATCGAGTCTGGACCAGACAATCCAGTGATCAACAGCATGAACATCGATCTGCGCAATTGGGAACCGATGACATGTGTCAACCAAGTCAGCGAGCCTGACCACCCGATTCCGTTAGTCGTCTCTTACGACAAACATGGGTTACTGAAGAATATTCTAACCCGGATCTTCACGGGTACTCATGCATGAAGTCAGATAACCACATGTTCATGTCCACATTAATTTAATGTACACGACATGTAAATTTAAAACAATTTGATACGAACAATGTGTATGAATCATAAGTTCGTTTGTGTCATGATCGTACTTTACAGGACGTGCTGCAGCAACTCCAAACCATTAACGAAACATATCCCGTCACGGAATAATCACTGAAATATGAATGTTGACATCAGGTGTTCACTAAAGAGGGAAAGCATGTCCTGCTCCACCGGTATAACTAGACTCCTCGCACAAATATCCCAGATCATACTTGTTGCTTTAGCGGTTCAATGATCCATGACATCGGAATACAACACCCCTCTAGATCTGTCAACCAAGCATGACTTAACACAGGCATATGACAGAACAGTGTAACATCATCATCAATGTTATTTTAATTAATACTGCGCACGACATTGCCCCAGCTATACGATGGCGGTCATCAAGTCTGGATCTTTGACATGAACATCGCTCAATGCAATTGGGATACAATCACATGCAACAACCAAGTGAGCAAACCTGACCCCCAGATCCATCAATCGCCCTCACGACAAGCATTGGTAACTGCAGATACGTTGTAACCCGGATCTCCATGGTTGCGAAACAGGAACAAGCCTCAACAAAGCGCACTGTTACATGTGTTGTTCAGTTCTGTGTTGTTTTTCCATGTGCCTGTAAGTTAAGATCATAATCGTCATAAATATTGGTCTTTAAGTTTCAGACAGGACAGGACTTACCCTTTTGGCGACACGTGGTGTCATCAAATTATCGCCGTTCCATGCACATTTCCTCTTACCGCTATTCTATAACCAGTGGAACCCGTGTCAGGGGATATTCGACAATGGTTATTTTCTGGTGTTGGAGAGTTATATTTACGACATTATAAATGTCTCATTTCATTTGTTTATGCTTCAGGGCACAGATATCCACCACTTGAGGATGATAGAGTATTGTTTACTTTCGTGAGGAAATGTGCCAACGTTAGCAACGTCGATGATTCAAACAAAGTAAGAATACATTGTATATTGTTACCATTTTCTAACATAGACCCGTAAAGACCATTAAAACTGGTCTCTAGCAACCCATGCTTGTCGTAAGAGGCGACTAACGGGAACGGGTGGTAAGTCTCGCTGACTCGGTTGACACATATCATCGTATCCCAGTTGGGTTGATCGATGCTCATGCTGTTGGTACTATATCGCCTGGTCCAGACTCGATTACAGGCTGTTACAGAGCTGGAATATTGCTGAGTGCAAGTCAAGTTATCTTAACAACGTCAATGACATTAACAACATCAATGACAATCCCATGCGCCAATTAGAGGATGTGTGTTTGGTACCCAAGCGTCTTTATGTGACAGAAAATGAAGCGTAAATCGCTAATATCGGGGTTTTCGAACATCTGAATTACGTAAACTGGTTAATTGCTTCAGCATGGGGAAGAGGAGACATTTGTCATGAAGCTGAAGGATGATGATGAACACCAATATGTGACAATACCGCGTGAATACTGAACGTCCTCTACAGTGGATTTCTGGACCAGTGACCCATGAAAGTGTGATTTGCTTCACATTTTATTTGTTCCATCTATTTGTATCAGTAGTGCGTTATGGCCAAAAATGCTAACATATATACTAGCCACATAAAGGAAGTGTGCACACAGAAAATTCATTAAGAACTGGAATAGAACAAAGCAAAGACGAAATGATGTAGACACTTTTTAAGCTGAAGTATCGCACCACAACAAAATGTCAAAAGTACATGAACAATATCCGTAACGATGACGTCAGAAGTCCAAAATCGAGTAGGGGGTCACACGACGAAGTTACCAAGTCAGTAACGGGTATGATCACTGTGTGCGTGAAGCACAGCGAAGACGTATAGAGGCTACCAAATGAGCATGGAAGGCCTGGGGAATGCCCTACTATATCCTCTCCAAATCTCGTGACAAGTCACGAACGTTATCTGGAGGATGTGGAAGAGGGTGTAGACGGCGCAGCATTTCATCCCACGCGTGCTCTATTGGGGAGAGATCCGGTGAATTTGCAGGCTAGGGCAGTAACATGACATTGTTCTGGTGAAGAAAGCCCATTGCAATCCTAGCCGTGTGAGGACGAGCGTTGTCTTGTTGAAATGTCATCCTGGTCCATGAGGTTCCAGAAAAGGAACTGCCACAGGCCTCAGAATCTGATCCATGTAGCCAATACCAGTGAGGTTGCCTTGAACAATCACTAGAGGGGTTCTGTGACGTGCTGCTATTCCATCCCAAATCATGACAGAGCCACCTTCAAAACGATTCCTCTCCACGATACAGTTGCGTGCATAACGTTCCCCTAAACGCCGGTAGACACGTTGACGCCCGTCACTATGGGAAATGTTGAACCTCAATTCATCTGTTAAAACAACATTCCTCCAGCATATTCGAGGTTGAAGAAAATGATTGCGACACCATCTTTGACGGTTGTCTCGATGACGTTGTGTCAGAATGGGTCGTATGGCAGGGCGTCGTGGTCGAATCCCATACTGATTCATAAACGATTCCTGAAGGTGTTGGCATGGATTTGGCGCAGTCCTGGAATGGTCTGGGACGTGGTCACTGCCGTCTGGAACCTGTGTCGGAGATGAGTCACCCGAATCCATCTGTCCTGTCCTGGCGTCGTTACTCGGGGACGCCCAGAACATGGGTGCTCGGCGACGTCATTAGTGTTTCGATAACGCCTGACCTCTGCAGATGTCGTGTTACGATGACATTGGAAGTGTGCTTCCACCTGTTGTTGGCTCATGCCTGCTCGAACTATTCCAATGGCTTCATGACGTTTAGCAGATGTTAATCTTAGCATAATGTGCGTGTGTCTTTTCATGTGAATTTGTGAACGTTTGAATGACCAACGATCAAGCTTTCGACAGTGACAGCAATTTCTGAGTTTCACATGTTGTGTGCAGCTACACGGGCTGTACTTGCAGTAACACATTGCAAGCTTATAGGCCACCATCAATAACGTCACGTCGCCTGGCACGTGCATAAGTGTTTGATTGTCTCCAATACTTGCTGTGTTCACACCTGTATTATAGACGCTGTGTGCCTACATTTATATTTTCGGTGCACAGTTTCTGTATGTGGCTAGTGTATAATATATATATGTGTGTGTGTGTGTGTGTGTGTGTGTGTGTGTATATATATGTGTGTGTGTGTGTGTGCGCACAAAACTGCAATATATACATCTATACGTATTACGAAGATAGTGTGGTAGAAATGCTATGGGGATATTCTGTGAATTATTTTATTGTGAGAACTGACTGTTTTAAGTGTTTTTTTTCATTAGACATTGAGTTTGGAATGTTCAGGAATGCTGTTAGGAGTATCCAGTATGCTCCGGATCCACATCCACCTTGCGGCGTGTGTCCGAAAATGGGATTTCTCCAGTCTGTCTCTAGGAATTAGTGACAGACTTTACATGCTCGGATCAGCAGGTGACCACGACTAGGGTTTTCCATCTGCTCATGTCACCACATAAGCAGAACGTTGAGTACAGTAGTCGCTGTTTCCTGGAAAGCATTGACGGAAAGTGTCAAAATACCAAAGAATACAACACCTTTCAATCTTGTCTTAAAACTATTCTTTTCAAAAGAGCATTCGACTAAGCGAACGTGAATCTGGACTCCGTAGAGCTTTATAAATGTCCAATTTGATTGATTGGTTAAAAATGACTCACTGAATTGATTGAAAGTGTTCTTATTGAAAAATCTGTTTTTTGTGCACACAATCAGAATCACTTGTTCAAGAAGCATTTCTTGAGGACAGCTTTAGTGAGATATAGCTGATAGTGCGTAAGACATTTTTCGTTCCTTTTCTATGTACGTCCATGTAATAATTACAGCTAACCGAGTTGTTTACTATAACCATGCTTATATTTATTGTCACCCCCCTTATTCGACGTATATGATCGTCGAAAGTAGGTAAAACAACATGATAGATTCAAAGATGATCATTGTTATTTTATTTCAGTTCTGTATGACGATATAGACGACAATCATGATCCCATAGACTATTTGAGTAAAGTTATTGCCTTCGTATATTGGCGTCATCAATAAAAGAGATATGACAATACAGAGACTAGTAGCTGCAGGTCTTTGTTGACTTCTTTGAGTCACATTTTATAAGTTGAGAAATACAATAAGGACAAATTTACGGATAACAACTTCTTTTATTTTGTGAGTGGGACAGATTAGTTACAGATTCTTGTACCGTTTCTGGCAGGTAGAAGAATCTGTACCGAAACGACCCATTCACAAAATAAAGAAGATGTTATCCATAAATTTGTCAGTATTGTACAAGTCTTCATTGTTGAGAATCAGTAATAGAATGGGAATGTCACATTGGTATCGGTAGCAGGTACCAGAACTATGAATTAGTAACGTGTTGAGGCACCACGCGCCTCGCCAAGGGAGATGATTCGTCCAGGCATAATATCAATCAGCTCCATTTGGTCACAAGATCCTACCAGAGTATCACTAATGCT